CTGCAATGCAACTGGGACATTTCCACACATGCTCCTTCCCCTTCTTTAGTAGCCAATGAAGAGTCAACATAATTATTATACCAGCTGCAACCTAATTAACAATCCATCTTTGTTTCCCCCTTAGTGTTGAATATCTTCTAGAACCTCTACTCAGCCTCATTGAATTAGTCTTTCAATGCATGGATTCTCTGTTCTATTGCACTTTTGATATGATTCCAGACAGCCTTCACCTTGTCGGCTTCATCATAAAGTAGCTCACTGCCAAGAGCAGCAACAGCAGCTAGTAAAACTGATTCAGCGGACAGTGAGCAGAAGATCTGGATGGTGTTCAATGCATAAGGGAAAAAGACAGGTGGACCTGTATTGAGCTTGCTCTGGCACCATTAGTATGGGAAAGTTTCACTGGCTACAGAAATGGATAACATCACATGGCAATGAATGCAATTATGTTAAAGTTCTAACCAATTTGTTTAGTCTACTGGCACCATCATTATTGGAATGGTTCAATGGTTAACAAAGAAAGAGACGGAGTGAGTCAAATCAGTTCTTGCCTGGTTCATTTATTTATTGTCAGCTCACCAACACTTTAAATTTTGTTGCAATAAGGCCAGCATTTTTAGAATCTGAAGTGCAATACCCAAATAATACATAATTTAAGAATAAGTGTATCACATAAGAAATGGGTTACATAATATTAATACAGCACTTTTTGTTATTTAGTCGGATCTTTTTCAAACATGACCTTGGCTCACAGGTCAACCCAGCTTAAAAAGTGTACCAGGTAAAAGTCATGGGAAGTGAAGGCATCCAGTGTAATGTTGACCACATCACCCACTGAGCGCCCATTGGTAAAAAAAAAAAATGAAATATATATACCCAATTCACCACTCGGGTGTAAAAGGGGCCTTTACAATTTGTTATACAGAAACATGAAATTATCAAAGAAAAATGTACAAACAGTGGTGTGTACCCTATCACTCAGATTGTACTTATAGTCAAACACACACACAAATAACACAAACTGGAAAAGTAAAAAGCTACTATAAAGTTGCAGTAATTAGTTACTGATCTGCTTCAGTCAAAAGAATGAATTTGAATCTGTCAGAACTGCAAGATATGAAATGGGACAGCAATTCTTGGTGAACTCCATGACATTTGATGGTCCCCTAAAAACAAAATTGGAGTTGGTAGTGAACAAGAATTTGATGATCCTTCTGGAGGGACAGATCAATGTGAGTGTCTTTTAGGGAGCATCCAATCAAACTTCATCAGTCTTGTCTGGTTTTTCTTCCTCTTAATTCATACCCGTTTAAAGAGCAAATTAAGAAATACACTTATATTATAGATTGATCTCTGTTTGTATGAGACCAGATGCACAGAGCAGCAAAAAGAGAGAATATCCTTACTCAATGAGACTGACTGAGTGGACATTGAGCTTAGGATCTCAGTTGATACTAAACACATTGAAGAAAGACAGACTTTCCACCAGCTTGCCTTCAGAAAACTTTTTAACTCTTTGAATACCAGAGGGTTTAGCATCACAGGCCCAAGGGGTAGTCAAAAGAGATGTAAAATCGGCACATTATGCGCTCATTGGGCTTCTATGCAGTAACCTATGAAAGTATGATGCGTTCCTTGGGACTCAAAGAGGTAATGACTTCTTAAGAAGGGTATAACTAACCCTTGAAGAAAACTGATGCCCACATCAGAAGGAGACATTCTTTGGTGATGTCATGAGGAGTAACAAACCTGAATACATTGTGACAGTTGGAAAGCTGAAGGAAAAAACAGGCAGAGAGAGATCAAGAGAGAAGATGCTGGACAGTTTGGCATAATGGCATGGAATTTGATCTGTATCAGAAATGACTGAAAATACACAAGACAGAAGGTTGTGGATAGACATGGCTACTAATGGCATCCGGCACGGAATAAAAGAAGAAGAAGTGTAGGAGCCCATGTGGTAACATACCAAGCGCATGGATGCCAATTCTGGACTCACTCATGGGTTTTTGTTTTTATTCCATCTCACTGTAAAGGTGGTTCATCTATGGTACTCTACTTAGTTGACATGAGAGTTAGAGAATTGGAAACATGTTCTGTTTAAGGGCTAAAAGTGAATACAAGGCGATTTCTGCAGAACATGAGAATACTGAAGAAATGTGTAAAATTCCAGTCTACGAATATGAGAATACTGAAGATATGTGTGAAATTCCATACTACAAAAATGGGAATACTGAATAAATGTGTGAAATTTCATACTATGAACATAAGAATACTAAAGAAAAACCCACATGATCTTTTACTCTGTAATTCTGATTATATTTATAGATCAAAAGTGATTGTAAATTACATGAACATAAATACACAAGCTTGAAATTTCAAATGGTTAAGGTGTGAAGACTGAAAAGAACATATCCTATATAATGTAAATCTTATTACATATGATAAATGAATGACACTGTAAATTTGTAGCTAAGAAAATGACAACAATCATATCATGGAGCTGCAGAATGACAATCATACAATTTAGACTATAATGACAATCATACAGTCATGTAACGTTTGTTACAGATGGTGATCACATTACGTGGCTATGTCATTTCACAATTACATAAATGACAATCAGATTGTATGGTCGCAAAACACTTTTTGATACAAGAACATGTTCACGTACTTCCAAAACGGGTACCAGTTGTGTATTTTCAGGAGGGCAAGGAAGGGAACTGTAACCTCAGCTCATTATAGCTTAGAAAGTGTGCTCACACTACATAATCAATGACCACAACACCTTGGTATTCAAAAGTTATAAGAATATCAAGTTTCGTTTGACATAGTATGGAAGACAAAATGTGGCAACAACAAATATTTGGAATTACATCTGAATGTGAACATTTAATCACTTTTATGGCAAAGGACAAATTAACAACACAGGAACTTACCCCCCCCCCCCCCCCCCACTCTTTCATGAAAATCCAATACAAACTAGAAGCTTTGCCATTAACAATCAAAAGGGTAATACAGCCTCTAAAATATGTATTTACTTGAAAGCAATAAGATACAATTATTTTAATAATGATTTACATCCTGCATTCTCCACCTAATAACCAGGATACAGTCTCCTTTAGTGCAACTGCATTAAAGGATTTTTTTCTTTCATTTTTCAATTAGTAGCTATTTTATTTAAATTGTCCCTCTTAAAAAGAAAATAAGTACAGACTATGAACTGCACCTGATTTCAGGTAGAAATTTGGTATATTTCAACTTCTTTTTAAATAAGAGTATATCAGTTAATTTACTTAAAATTAAGTTTATTCACCATCCATTCTTAATATTTTGTAATACCAAAAAGTGTGTATTTAATATTTTAGTTCTTGGTTCTCAATGATAATTTGCAAATAATAAAAAAAAAAAAAAAATTAAAATCAAAATTTTCAGGGATAAAAAGAATAAAGTAAAACAAAATTCTATGACTTTCAGGGTACTATTTTAAATTATCTGTATGTATATATGTATGCAGAACAAACTTGGGGGAAAAAAAAACTGAAGTAAATGATGACATCAAAAATGTGCTAAAAAGGTAATTAAATTAGCATCAACAGTCACTGCCATGGTCAAACACTTTTTGAGGAAGCCGGAAAGCTTCAATTAAATATTTATTATAAGTTATTCAACAAATTTCTAACTGTAATGCGATGAGAAGGCTGTTTATCAGGAAATCATGCTATAATCTCTGAACAATTATCTGTGTATGATCAAAACACTTGTTCAACATACAAAAACACACCCAAAAATAAACTTGTCTGTTGAGAACACCATTCTGTTTTGAATGCAAAATATAACTTCAGCAGACTACAACCATTTACTGCATACTGCTTTATAACTGTCTTTGGAAAAAATTTGTTTGATGATCTCATGTATTTCATTTTGCAGATTTGTTTTACATACATGGTGTAATTAGACTTTGGAAAAAAAAACTATAGTTTTCGGTCAGTGGCATGAGGTATATTTGGTAAATGATGCTAACCCCACATCTGAAGACAATCTTAACTTGTTGGGTAATGTGGTTAATATCATGTCAGGTGCCAATAATTTCCCAGAAAATATCCTGGTACCTATTCTTAGGTTGGAGCCACAGGTGTGCAGTGGCTAGACGCTCACGCACAGGTCAGGTTAGAATCGATATTGAGTCTGATTTTTTTTCAAAAAGAATTACCTTTGTCATCAAAATAGGTACCAAGGGAAGTAATAGCAACAGGTGTGATAGTGACCAGAGCATGCAGCTAGGGCTGACTGGTCTATACAAATAAGTGTCTAGTATCATATGCATAAAAAGAGTGCTTTACTTCTCTTAGGCTGAGCTGACCTGGAATCCAGGGTGGTAGAATTTGAAAACATGATCACTGGGTTTTTTCTTTTTAAGTTAAAAAAAAAAAGTAGAAGTGACTGACTTCACTGCACCATGTTTGATCCCATAAGGCTCAGTCTCTCCCTCACAAAACGACCCGCCATCTGTCAAGAGCATCACATAAAGCATGAACACAGTAGCTCCGGCGACAATCTCTATGGGTCTCTGTAAAAACTGCGTTGGTGAACTGAACAATGCAGCCATGAAATGAACCGACCTTCAGAATGTGAGGCAAACAATTTGACCACCTGAGTTAATTTTATGCTGCTTTTTAAAAAAATCCTATAATGTTAAACCAGCTGATAATACGGCTCTACAAAAAAATGCAGACATTTTATGCTACAGCTCTACTTTCATATATATCTTCCCATTTATTAATAGTGTCAGTTTACCTCTCAAGTATGCTCCATAACAAATAGTTTTGATACTACTTGTTCCTGTCATGTGATATGTTTACAGATACTTTTTCTAGTTTTAATTAATATTCACCTTAGCTGCCATTATAATACAAATGCTAAAACATGTTTCTTCAATATGTTAATGTACAGGAGTGGTTATAAAAAATAAAACACACATAATATGTACACTTTGCATATTAAATGAAACTTTCTGCAACTTGAGGCACTCCAGTGGGATCAGGTGCGGCTTTTTTCCTTCTTGGTGGAACTTTCAGGATATCAACAGATTCTTTCAGAGAAGGTGCCAAATTCTGTCTAGGCTGACGATTACTAAATTTCGAGGAGTTACCTGAAAGTGAACTCCCTACAGTCATTGATTTATGCTCCGCTAGGGGAACTCGCATCACTTTAGACATAGGCTGTTTTTGGCTTTGCCAGCCACTGCGTACGTCAGGATCATCATTTCTAAAAGCTGGGTTATGCAATCCCCCATCATCTTCATGTGCATATTTCTTAATGAGAACATTTTCATAATCCGCCCCATTTTTCATAAACTTTGGTGTGTTGCTCTGGTCATTGCAATCGTATGACCCATTACGAGAGTGAATATCATCTCCATCTGGACAATACCCACTATCAGCAGTAGTTGACCTTGAGAATCTATCACTATCCTGCTTCTCGAACGGATCTGTGTATGGGAGGTATTCCGAGGATGCTGGACGTTTATCATCACGATGTGATCCATAATTATTTCCAGCCGCACGAGCAGCATAATTTTGGTACTGATGAGCTGGAGTATTTGAAACAACCTTTACATTTGCATTGATGTGTCCATACTTGTCTGGTTGTGATGCAGAAAGAGTTGACTGCGCCTGATTTGAGGAATGTGACTGTCTGTAGCCGTGATTGCTTTCAGGTTGTGTTTCTGATCTTGAATCTGAGTATTGATCATCATAATCATGCGGGTGAATGTTCTGATAGTGAAAATCTGTACCATCATGTTGTCTGTTGCTGTCTGCATATGTTTGTTTAGGGACGTCATAACCATCAGTATCCTCATAACCGTGGTCATATTCAGACGAATCCTGAGCTGGAACAACAAAATCGGGATAAACAGACGGATCAAAACCAACAGCACCCTCAAGCTCACCTCTTATTTTCTGCTCATTTTCATAATCATTAGCATATGCTGATGATCCTGACACTGCACCATGCTGTGGTATGTTTCTCAATCGGGATTTCTTCCTAAAGCTAGCATACAAACGCCCTGCCTGGGCATAGTCGTAATTATTTTCGGGAACAGAATCGCCAATGTTCTCCAGCGGTGATACACTATTAATGGTCCAGCCTGGAAGTGCTTCTCGTATTTCATCTGTGAGATTAGAAAAACATAAATTACCTAATAAATTATCTCACTAAAAATGTGTTGCATAAAAGCATGTCAGAAATACTGCATCCTAGTTATGTCTATACGGCCAACAAGAAATCAGAAGAGGGTTTTTTCTACCCCCCCAAAAAAATACCAGTACTAACCACAAGTGTCTATTACAGTTGCACTGAAAAACAAAACGATGCATTGAAAAGGTGCTGGTACTATGCACCGTTGCGCACTGCCAGAAAAAAAATAATCCTTGACTATTTTTTTTTAAAGGACAACTGTTTAATGTATAAAGTGTGTTGATTGATGTTCAACCTCACCAGGACTCACTGAGCAATAAAAACAAGGTGACACAAAATGCCACCACTCGGATGAGAATCACCCATAGAAGCCCCAAAAACCACAATGAACCCATAGGTTGGGTTATATCAGAGCCATTGGCAACAACCTGAGGCTTCAAAATAGAAAAAGAATTTCCCAGATGGGGACAGGTTAATGAGCAGGTAAAAAATGTGTTGTTATTATTGTTGAAATATATTTTAATAAGGGTTGAGAATCAAGTTGTAAAATCTGAATGTTAAAACACAACACTTGAAAAAACAAAAAATGCAATGCAGTGTGTGGCTTAAAGATGCTCTAAGAAAACTGTTCAATGAAACAGCTAAACTTTCATCACTTACAAAAATAGTATTCAAGATTGTAAACCTGTGCTGCGATTACATTATGCAACCATGTCTTCGACTCTACAAGAATACTTACAAACCTGTTGCAACCTATTCAGTACACTTTATTCCACCAAATCAGAAGTGATTGCTATTTTACAATATTTAAAACTCTTTCAATGAAAGATAAGTTGCATTTCACACATAAACATCAGAGAGACTTGGCACCACTTGGTGGTGAATTGATGTATGACAAGTTAGATATTGTGAGGGTCCTTTGAGAAAGAGTGAATAGTGCTGATGCGCAAACAGATCATTATGGTCTGAGGAGAATGGCGCTGCGAGGAGTTACCAGGGATTGTGGCCAACTACACCCCGGGGAGACGAATATACAATCAGACAGCTACTGGTGCCATCGGAATTGAAACTCTTTGCTTGCTGCTGAAGATGGGGATGGAGCACTTATTGGAGTGTCCCGAGTGCTTTGATGTTGATTCTTAATTCAACATCAGAGAGGCGATGGAGAAACAATATAACCATGGCTCCCCACATGTGCTTCAACTCTTTAAGCCCAAGTCACATGCTACTACAAAGCAATAAACCCTAAAGTCTGTGTACACCTAAAATACACATCTTTGAGTGTTTACAGATGGAAACAATACAACTATGGAACAGAACTAGTTGAAGTAACAAATGGGACATAATGGGCTGTCGTAATTCAAGAATATGACAAAGGAGAAAAAAAAAACCATGTATATAGCTGGGTTAAGTTTCAAGAATTGACATCATAGCACTCTGGACACTCCCATAATTGCTCAGTCTTCATCTTCAGCAGCCAGCAAAGAGTTCCAACTCTGACAGTAATAATAACAGCCTGAATGCTAGTCTGTGTTGCCTTTTCTCTTAGTGTGGAGTGTCAGGCAGATCCCCTAGTCACTTCCCGTTGCACCATCAGCCAGATCCACGAGTCACTCGCCATTGCACCATTCTTATCAGACCGTGATAATGTAAGTGTGCCTCCGCACTGTTCACTCCCTCCCAAAGAGCACTGACAACATCTAACCTGTTGTGCACAAACTTACCACCAAGTGGTGCACACCCTGCAAGTTTGACCAACTGCTTACTTCACAACACACCTGCATGCCCTGGAGAAAATATCCAAAGGATGCTAACTACTCTGGACTTCTGAAGTAATGCGTGCCACTCTGCACAAAGCATATCTGCGTCCACCTTTCTCAGCCTTCTCTGTGATTCATTACAACCGCAAAATGTGTGTGCTGCTGATTCTCAAGCTAATGCAAGGCTGCAGTGACCGCCTCTACCTCCATTCTAAAACTAGATGTTATGACATCTTAAGCCAGGTTTTATTGCATTACGGTAATCCATGAGTTTTTGCTATGAACCCCTATGCATTTCTTGTGCCTCTCAACACACAGCCATCAGTAAAGATAATCACATCAGTTGGATGGGAATCATCATGAATCAGTTGTAGAATTTTATATAGACCATGTATGGAGTAACATGTGATGCATTGTTTAGTAGTGAAAAAATTAATAACATTCAGTACTTAATGTGAAGATGTTACAGGGACAGTGATCACCCTACTCCTCCTCTTCTTTACCTTTTTAATAAAAGAAACTGCTAATTAAATTATCATTAAGTCAAGGAACTCAGCTGTGGCTCCAGACAAGAACTTAGAAACAGTGTTAATTCTTTTTTTTGTTATCTACCTTCATACACAGAAGATAAGTGTGGTCTGGGGTACACCTCCCCAGTCAACTGGTTCCATTCCATCTCATGCATGCCAATGTCTTCAAAGTCCCACTTCATCTCCAGACTCTGAAAACCACAACATTTAACTGTTAGTCTGAAGTACTTATTTAATAGGAGTTTATATTTTTTATTTACACAACATAGAATGTAGAGTTGAGCTTTCCATTTATCTGCATATACAGCACCTAATGTAAATATTTAAATGACTAATAGTAACAATCTTAAAATATGCAATATCAATTGGAAAAGGGACAGAAGGATGCAGCTTCTGTTTATACGCAGAATGGCATTTATACCAACATTGTGTTACCAGTGCCTAATGAAAAATTGAAATGAAAGAAAAGAAATGTCTAAGACTAATCCTAAGTGAAGAGACAGGATTAGAAATGATGATCAGCAAACAAGTGCTGAAAAAAAATAATGATAAAGAATTGCCAAACTAGGCAGCAGGTCAAATGCCTCAGTCAAGTGTCCAGACTGGGGCAGTCCACAAAGTCCTGTCACAAAGGAAGCAGAGCTACGAGTCACCCATCTTAGCGATGGATAGATGGAATATCTGACAGTGTGAATGCATCAACACAGTATACACACCAAACACTGCACCAGAGGCCTCTTCAAAATCTTGTTTGAAAGTCAGAACAAACACTTCGGAGGAGCAGATGGATCACCACAGTCTGGTGAGACTGATGCAGCGGGGAGTGACGAGAGGTTCTGGCAGATGCTCGAGGCTCAGAGGAAAGGTAAGGCGAACGTTTAATCAGAATGCTACTGGCACCATTAGTATTGAAACTCTTCACTGGCTGCTGAAGATGGGGATGGAGCTCTTATGGGAATGCCCCGAGTGCTGTGATGTCGATTCTTGAATCAAATCAAATCAGACACTTAAGAGAAGAAAAAGAAAAAAATGTAGCTGAAATGAAAGAGATCTGTGATTGGGGAAAAAAAAGTTTATAAAATAACACCCCTAAAACAAATTTATTCATTAGAAACTGACACCATAAAATATATAATATAAAGTGGAAAGGGACAATTAATATTAGCTAATCTAAGTCTTATTTTTTGTTTAAAGCTTTTTTTTTTCTGGATGATCCTGGGATGTACAAGAGACACCCCGATTGTGTGCACGCGATACATTCTTGCATTGCCGACTTTTGCAGATAGGCTAAAGGCCCTGTAGGCTAAGTCATGCCTCAGAGTAGCAGCAGACAAAGAACACCCTCTGTATGAAGCTTTGGCTGCAGATAAGGGCCAGAGGCTGAAAAGGGGAAAATCATGGAATGCTCAAGCAGAAGAAACAATAAGACAAGTATGCATGCTGGAGAACATTGGGCGAGGAGAAGAGTGGGTCAGAGTACCAGAGGAAAAGTCTGACCTGTGTAGGGTTATGATCACACTGGGCCGGGAGTGCAGAGAGTGGCCAGCGGGTTCTATGGATGTAGAAGTCCAACAGTTGATTCACGACAATTCACGCCCAGGTGATCTGATTATCTATACAGATGGTTCAGTGTTGAGAAGAAAGAGAAGTGCCTGGGAGTTCATAGCGAATGCCAATGGAAAATCTTTAGTGCAAGACAGCCTAGCATACGACATCACAACATCTAGCATGAGAATGGAGGTGAAGGCAGTAACTGCAGCTCTCCAGTGGCTAGAGAACAAGATGTATACACATGTCATAACTGTAACAGTCTCTAGAAGCATGCTGAGAAAGGTGAAGACAGGGATGCTTCGAGCAGAACAGATTGGCTGGATCTGCACCACTGGGTGGTGCATGACAAGGCGGATGTTGTCAAGGCTCTTTGAGAACAAGCAACAGAATCAGTAGAGAAACAAGATTATTATGGTCTGGAGAGAATGAGGCACCTGGGTGTAACTAGAGGGTCTGACCAACTCACTACACTCAGAGAAAAGGCAAAAAAGACATATAACCAGATTGTGACCAGTATTATCAGTATTGGAACGCTGCGCTGGCTGCTGAAGATGATGATGGAGCAAGCATGGGAATGCCCCAAGTGCTGTAATGTCAATTCTTGACTCAACTCAGCTCAACTTTTCTGGAAAAATATTTCTAACAGTACGAGAAGTGCAATTAATGTCTCAGTGTAAAATGTGCAGTAAATATTACCGGAAGGGAATGAAAAGCAGAAGATCTGTTAATGTTTGCTCCATAGCCATGGTATCGAAGATTCAGGTCACAGTGTTCCCATTCTGCATATCGGAAGTAGGTTAAACATGCACTGCCTGAATTCTGTGCCTCGCCTTTTTCTTTCTGAGCCAGATGTTCTGTGTAAACTCTTTGGATCAACTTCCCAAATCGGAACTAATTTAAAACAAAACAAAAAATCAACTATTTTATAAATAAAGTACAACAAATTCTCACTTTATTAGTTTAAATATGTAAACAGTAATATCTTAAACAATAAATAACAATGGCAGAATGCATTGCTATACCAAACTGAATATTCATGAATGAGGCCACTAAACATTTCTTTTTGGCACTATACAGGTTGTTTAAACAGTCACTGCCGGTACTAAGCCTAACCCATGTCTAAGCAAGCATTCTGATCAGTAAACTACTGTGCCTTGTTTTAAAACGATTTAGTCTGCATATATAATGAACATTTAAGAAAAAATCTTTAATGAATTAAAAACATAAATAGCTTTAACAAGACAATTGAAATGATCATTTGAAAAGAACAAACACTGAAATACCTAAAAGTTAACCACGCCATAGTTTACAAACAACCCAATTTCATTTATTTTCTTTCAGTCTGAACAACTGTTTTGTTTGGTTTGAACAACGAATCAACATCATGGCACACGGGTAGCAACCTATAAGCGCTCTGTTCTTTTTCAAACTCAAGTCTCAGTCAGAAGAAGCTCAGTGCAGTGCACATGCTCTGTAGCACCGGCGAGGTTTCTGAAATACTTTGGGTAGATTTTTAACTTTTAAATTTGTCCAGGCAGTGCTTTCAGGCTATTCTTTTCAATTTCCAACTGCCAAGGGATATTTATCGTGTGCAACAATGCACACGGGCGTCCAATCTCACTACCCAGAGACCAGGGAAAATTACCTGAAGTACAAATCCACATGAGAAAATCCCAGCCACTATCAGGAATTGAACCTGCTCTTTCACTTTTCCCTTTTTTCATAATGGAATTCTTCTTTGTTTCAGGTTTTCACCTCAGAAATTGTTACTGTTCCTCTTGTCAGCATCAAGTACTTTGCCAACTAAATGATCATGCTTCTCCAGATTTTACAATCTACTGTGTGCTGACATCTTTATGTATCATGACAATAGGCATCAATAATTGTCTACTGTTATTTTCTATAAGTCTTTCCAGCTGATGCATGTTTAACTGTTCTCTGCTAATATGGCCAAAATTCACTAATTATAAATAAAAATTAACTCTTAACCAATAGATAATCAGAGTTATCAAATGTTATGCATACTTAACCCTGCTGTATGATGCAGAAACCTGAACAATGAACAAGCAACTAGAAAACTGAACTGAGTTTCAGGATAGGTGGCTATATAGAAGAATGAGTTGCATTTTATGGGGGTAAAAACAATCAAATACAGAGGTTCCGGGAGACTGCAAATGAAAAGAGTTACTGGAATAAATAAAAAAGAGACAACTGAGATATTTCAGCCACATTAAAAGACAACTCTTTTGAAAACCAGACTAATGGAAAAACATGAAGGCAAGAGGTAGACAATGATACAACTTTGAGGACAACATCAACAGATGGAGGTCCAGCAGGCTGAAAAAGTCTACTACCAAAACAACAGACAGAAAGTTTTGTAGATCCACTGCAACCCAACTTCCTGGTTGAGACGGTACCTGACTGACTGAACCAACAGAAAATAAGTGGGGGCAGAATGAAAATGATTCATTCGGATGCATTTAATGGGATCCTTATACTTCAACATATATAATGTTATAAACACCGATCTTGCTTTATGTTTAGCAATTTAAGATTTCATACCCTTATTTCAAAGGGCTGTCCTCTGGCTAAAGCAGCTTTGGCAGAATCCAGTCCCATCTGCAGACGGCTTAAAATTTTAGGATGTGTTTGGTTAACCATCACAAGCCAGAGCTCTGAATATATGAAGAAAATAAAAAATGTACACTAGTAACAACTTCTAGAACACAAGTACTTCAATCTTGCTATAATGTTTAGACATAAAATTAAATCAACATCAAGTATAAATTCCTGACCACTGATAGGCCTCAATAGCCTGCTTCCTAATCTATTCTTTTGCAGCCTTCCCCCTTCTCCCATACTGTAAGATATTTTGTTGCAGCTGTCACCCAGTGATATAGTATGTCATGAGAGCTTGCAGCAGAGGTTGTAGCAGTCACCCACTGTGATGTGGTAGATCTAGAGTGGCTGTGGCTATTATTAATGGTTGTTGTAATGGTTTGGTCATCTTGCAGCCAAAACAACTACCAACACAGATGCTACTCATTAAAAGATATAATGTGAAAGCAAGAGGTTGCTCTAGAATAATGGTCTCCAACCTGAGGGGTGCGAAAAGGTATTAAGGGGGTATAAAGCAATTTTGAAAATGAGTGTATTTGCATGGGTAACAATCTGTTTGACGAACACTTACATTTTGTTTTATTTTTATGATATATATATATATATATATATATATATATATATATATATATATATATATATATATATATATATATATATATATATATATATATATATATATATATATATATATTTTTTTTTTTTTTAAATAAACAAAATGACGAGGACATGTTTGTTTTCATGAGCTATTTGTCTTTTTCTTCAGAATTCCGAGCCCTTGAGGTTCATTGCTGCAGATATCGCCCGCTTCCACTCAACTCTGGCTGGCCTTTTCTTTCCAGTTAGTGACATCAAGTGTGTGTAGGTCTGTCTGGATATTATCTCTCCATTGTCTTCTTGGTCTGCCTCGTGGTCTAAGACTATTCAGCTCCCTTGTGTATACAGTTTTTACCTCTCTGTCATTTAACATTCTCTCAATATGCCCAAGCTATTTCAGTCTATTAAATCTCATGATACCAGTGATGAATGGTGATTTAAACAGATTTTGAATTCAATTTTTGCTTCTCACTCTCCATTCCCGCTCTTTGCATTTTTGATGGGTTTAAAGATTTGTTGTAATACTTTATTTTCGAAAATCTGTAATGAGGCCTCATCTCTTTTAGTTGTGCTCCAAGCTTCAGAGCCATATAAAATGATTGGTCTTATCATCGCTTATACATTTAATTTTGGTGTTGCGAGACAGAGATTTTGACTTTAGCAGATGTTGAAATTAGCACCCAAATACTTACCAGTTTCCTTTCTTTTGGTTTTCATATTATCCACTTGAATGTGGCCGGAGTTTATATCCTTTTCCTGTCTAGTTATTATCAAGTATTCTGTCTTATCTTGACTGACAACTAGTCCTATTTTGTGAGCTGCTTCTTTTAAGAGAGTCAGTGTTTTTAACAGTCTCTAGTTTATTTTCTCCCACAATATCAATGTCATCTGCATAACCAAGTATTCTCGTAGATTCTCCTAAAGTACACTTTTGTTTCAATTTCTTTATAATTTTCTCCAGGGCCATGTTGAAAAGAATTGGGTACAGAGCATCACCTTGTTTTAAACCAGATGTTATTTGAAAAGGGTCCGACTTTCTGCCTTTATATGTTACTATATTATAAGTGTCTTTCATACATAGTTTAGTCATGGTAATTAACTTCTTTGGTATTCCAAACTCCCTCATAGCATTCCATAAACTGTTTCTATGAACATTATCATATATCATACGCCTTTTTAAAATCCACAACAACATTATGTACATATCTTTTACATTCCCAGTTTTGCTCAACTATTTGCCGAAAAAAATCAATCTTATCTATTGTTGATATGTTCTGTCGGAAACTCGCTTGGTAATCTCCTAGTATGTCTTCGGCATATGGTTTTAGCCTCTTTAGCAGTACTGCCGATAGTATTTTAAAGGTTGTAGATAATAATGATATTCCTCTATAATTTTCACATTTATACTTGTCTTCTTTCTTAAAAATGGGTATTAATAATGACATTTTCCATTCATGGGGTAATTTCTCTATCTTCCAAACTAGTTTTATTAACTCATATATTATTTATAAGTTCAGCAGCAATTCCATCAGCACCAGTTGCTTTATTGTTTTTAAGCCGTGTTGTGACATACAATACTTCTTCAAAATCAGGCTGTTCAATATTTGGTTCACATGTTAGTATCTCCTCCTGTGGGTATTTATTAGAGTCTCACAATTTAACAGTTCAGAAAAGTATTCCTTCCAGCTGTTACATGTGTCTTCATCATTATTTATTAGCAGTTTGTACATATACCATTGAAAATCTAATTAACTGGATAACACATTCTCTTGAATATAGATTAGGAACACATTCCGACCAAAATGTTATCTCAGTAGTTTCTGTTTCTCTTGTTACAGGATCCATTTTCTTTATAGTCACATTTTATGTTGGGATAGGAAAGGGAGGTGGGGGGGGGGGGGGGGGAAGTGGTCTTGCAATATACTGAAGGAAAGAGTGGGGGTCTTACCATATACTCCAGCGGGCGTGCGGGTCTTGCCATAAACTCAAGGTGGCGTGGGGGTCTTGCCATATCCTCAAGATGGCGTGGGGGTCTTAAGGAAGGCGTGAAAAAGGTTGAGGACCACTGCTCTAGGAGAACATAGACTGATATGTTAAAAAACTCCTGCATCGACACGGAAAGATAATAGCTATCCCCTCAAGCTATGAATTAAAAACTGTTTCACTCTACAATGCTTTGTGGCAAAAGTGGAAACTGATAACTATGATGTATTTCTTAGTAATCAAATAGTTAATGAACATAGTATCACATAACTTTTGCTTAACTCACCATCTTGATAGCAAACAGCACAATTATAACCCAGTCCTCTGCCAAAATGAAGAATTGGTTGCAGAACTAATGGTCGTCTCAGCATCTGCTGTCCAAAATCTTCCAACTGTTGTTTTTTCTCAAATGTATATTTTCTAAAAACAAAATGCAAGAAAATGTATTTGTTAAGTGAAGCCATCATTTCACTAATTCTTTTAATAATGAAGTCGGCAACTATGACCGAGGTATTATAAACAGTTTTAAATTCTGATACGGTGGGTTTGATTCAACTGTGGACAATTTTGCCGCAGACCAAGTTGCACTGATTTTGACAACTGCATAAGCATAGACTGTTCAAAGAGCAGTGGTAATCTAATGAATGTATAACTGCCAAGTAAAACCACAAACAGCCACAAATTGCTGGGGTTGGCTTTCGATGACCTGTAAACTAACTTAACTCTATTTATATGCCATTATGGCAGAAGACCATACTATTGTCATTTACACAAAAACACACAAGAAGTGGTCAAGTAGGTATTGTGCTACGACCAGTTTCTCAATTCCATTGTTCCTTTGTAAAATTCAGAATCAAGTTGTGAAAGACACATAATATTAATTACAAATATATGCCCACAATATTTAATAACAATTATCTAACCCTTTAAACACAAACCTTATTTACACATATGTAGAACAGACAAGCTTACATGTAATCTGTCTGAGCTATTATCAGAAAAAACATTTTATCAGTATTTTTCTGGTTCATTATTGGTTCCTCTACTTAAAAAAAAAAAAAGAGGAAATCTGGCACAAGTCAAAATGTAACCCTGACAAATCTGTGGTCGATTTGTTTTTCAATTTATTTATCTTCAAGAGCTGTGGTAACATAGTGGCTAGAATCTTACCTGCCAGCTCGAAGGTTCTGAGTTCAAATCCTCACTGAGTAAAAGGTTTTTCAAAACTGACATAATCTGTACACAAAATGTTTATCAGGAAATGTTCTGGGAAGTAAAGGTGGTTGGTGTGATGTTGACCACAACACCCAACGAGTGCTGACTGGTCTACTAAAATATGATTTTAGTATGATGTGCCTGATGCCCGACTAAAAAAGGTCCCTTTTAATTTCATATTAGTTTCTAAAAGAAAATAGTCATAATTAGAGTCTCCATGATGAAGTAATTAAGCCATTTATCACATGCTCTGAAAGTTGTGAGTTCAGTTTCATACTTGGTTTGTTACTGCAGGTGTTTCAGGGGTACATGGAGGTTGTCACCAGAGCTAGAGAGTTTTGTGCTTTGTGCAAAAAACAATGTAGGATATTCACTATGTGGAGACAGGCTAAGCCATATGGGATAAAACCCACTGCAACTGAGCTGATAACAAGTACTAAGTGTAGCATAAACTCACTAGAACACTCAAACAACCATTCCTTGGCTGTTTACCAGCTCTGTTGTCTTGTCCGTTGAATCGTTTAGTCATAGTTTGTGTTGGATTTAGTACTCTGTTCATAAATATTTTGGTATAAATGTTCAGTTGTATGTGTGCATGTCTTTCTCATCCCCTTCACTAAGCTTTTTAGTCTTTGTACTGTTTTTACTATTTTGTGTGGTTAATGGTTGGCACATCATATCCCTCACTTCTTTCAGTTAGTTAATGGTTGGCACATCATATCCCTCACTTCTTTCAGTTAGTTAATGGTTGGCTTTTCATATCCTTCACTTCTTTCAGTTAGTTAATGGTTGGCTCATCATATCCTTCACTTCTTTCAGTTAGTTAATGGACTACTGTCACTTACTTAAAATTTAAACACATATATTTATGGAAATACAGAACTCTGCTTTAATTATACACTTTTGCAATGTCATAAATACTCTTCAGTAAAATGTGTAAAGAAAATGTTACCTTCTAAATGGGACAACGTTGACTAATCTGTCTGTCGACTGAACCCCAATACCTCCAGGAAGGGGTCGGACTAAGCGATATAATACATTATTGTTGTCACACACAGAATCATAACTTGCAATGACAAGCGCTGAAGGAAAGTTCTCCATTGTTAAACTGTAGAACAATGAGAAAAGTACAAAAGAATGTGAATATTTTTATAAATTATTCATTTTAAACAAATGTCAAGAAAAGTATGTTGTTATGCTATTTCTTTTAATTGTCTGTTACACTGTGCTAACAATGGAAGAAGCCCTAGAGTTTGACCATGCAAGCATTTATGCAACAGATACCAAGGCTCTCACCTGACGCCTCGTAAAAACCTGCCACTGAAAGGCAGAACAGGTCTAAATAAGGCGAAGAAGACACTGTTTATCTGACTGCGACTGTTTTAAAACATTGGAATGTGATATTTGCATTAGTCAAATGACACTTCAGACTTCTTCCAGACATTTGTTCACAAAGTTAGCTTTCTTGTTTAGTTTCATAAGCCAATTTTCCTTCAAAGTCGTAGTGCATCTGCTTGAGAGGCAAGGAACCAACAATTGGTGGTATACAAAATACAAATAAGTCAGATCTGTTAAATGGATGTACATGCAACACTCAGGTTCTGGAACAAAACTGATGTCCAAAGTTGGACGAACAACTAAAACTTTCTGGCGAAGAAGAATATAAGCCATAATTATTTATTAATATTATTATACTATAATCTATAGTCTGCAACTAACTTACTATGTGTACAGACATAATAGTAATTCCTGACTATCCTGCTGTTTGTTAAGATATTTAATTGTTAACTGTTAAGATATTTAAGATGCGTTTTAACTGCTTGTAGGGCAAGACATCCTGCACTGGAAGCCATTCATTCGCAGAAGATACTGAATAATTGATACTGGCAGTTGAGTCAACAGTAACAACAGCCTCAACAGGCGTTGAAGTTGAACGAGGGAGCAACATTTTTATTTCTTCTTACATAACATCATCATCATGTAAATGTCCTCTAAAGCAGTTTGTAAAAAACTATTTCTTAAGTCAGTAAAGTATCTAGACAGTTCATAAACTCGCCATCAAATTATTGTAATTATTTACCTGTTCTGGAGACTATCGACATTTGTCCATGATGAATTATAACAGTTTTCAACACCAGGAAATGCACAGGAAGTCAACTTTGTCATCGGCCATTTTGACTGAACATGTTTTTTCGTCACCTGTGCGTTCGGGTAATCTAGGTCAAAGCACAGGTAAGAGGACAGGTACATTCAGAGGTTGACATTCAAATACACCACCGGTGTAGTGTGCGTCTTTGACTTCTATATTTTGACCGTTGTCCAGTGCTATAGTGTTGGCTAGTCTTCTTCTTCTTCGCGTTCACCAGCTGTAAACTCTGGCTGATAGAAACAGCTTCAATCCTCTTATTATGTCCTACTGCTTATACCTAATAGTTGAAGCGTCTTAGAGAGGAGTTGTATTTATAGTTTCCTGTCTTTTGCAAGTTGCTTAGCTTGTGGTTATCTCATACTGTAGCGTCTTTTTACTCACTCCACCCATGTCTTTCTTGGTCGGCCTCTTTTCCTGTCGCCTGTTGTTCTCGTGTAGTACGCTATGACCATACCATTTGATTCTTTGATGTTCTATGAAATCATCCCCTGATACTGTGTCTACGATTGTCCTTAGTTCTTCATTGGTGACTCTGTCTCTTCTTGTTTTCGCCGATTCATTTCTTATATATCTATTCTAAATTGTTTTTTAGGGACTAAAGAGCGGGCGCTGCAGAGTCAGTTCAACAAATGACGTATGCCCAGATGATGGGATTATCTATGTAAATGGTTCTGTATTGAGAGGCAGACAAAGTTCATAGGTGCTCTTGGTAAAAGCGAATGGACCTCACTTAGTGGAACAAAATATGGCTTTTTCGTTAGCTTGAGAATCAGCTGTACACACATTTCGTAATTGTAACCGACTCACATAGCATGTTAATTATGGTGGAAACGGTATGCAGCATGAAGAGTGGCAATCACCGCTTCAGAGGTCCCGGTAGTTAGCGTCCTTTAGTTATTTTCTCCAGGCCATGTGGATGTATTAGGAAATGAAAAGGCAGATAGACTGACTGGTTCTGCCCAACTTGGTGGTGAACTGATGCATGACAAGCTAGATGTTGTATGAGTCCTTTGGGGGTGAGTGAACAGTGCGGCGGTAAACAGAAGGATTATCACAGTCGGAGGAAAAAGGTGCTGCGAGAAGTGACCAGGGGATCTGTCCGATGATCGACACCTAAAGAAAATGTGAGACGGATATAGAGTCAGACTGCTACTGGTACCATCGGAACTGGAACTCTGCACTTGCTGCTGAAGATGGGGACGTAGCATTATGGGAGTGTCATGAGTGATGTGGTATCGAATCTTAATTAAACATTAAACATTTCACATGTTCCACATTTTAATTTTGCGTTTGTGTTTATATAGGACTGTCCATCATCATCATCATAAACCGCTTCTGCGGTTAAGCGTCATGGGGAGGAATAATTTGCGATCCAGTGCACGTTGGCTGCCACAGGCTATTGTCATGCCGTGAAGGCGTAGAGTGTCTTTAATGTTGTCGATCCATATTTTCCGCGGCCGTCCTCTTGCTCTTGTAGTTGATCTTCTGTGATGTAGTGCTTGTGATGGTATTTGATCTTGCTGCATTCTAACGAGATGGCCAAACCACTTGATCTGCTGTTTCTCGATGAATCTAGTACAAGGTGTCGTTCCCACAATTTGCCTGATAGTTTCATTATTCACTCGATCTCGTATGGTTAGGTTGGCTGCTTTTCTCAGCCACCTCATCTCGCAGGTGGTGATTTTGCGTATATGGGCTGTATATAGTGTCCATGTTTGGCACTGGTAGCTTAATGTTGGAATGAATATTCTATTAATAATCTGTCTCTTTGCATTCATAGTTATGCTTGGATGTCTTAATAATGGTGACAGTATAAGTGCACTTGCTTTCTGACATCTGGTTTCTATTTCTCTGTCAATTCTACCATCTTCTGTGATCGTACTTCCTAGATATTTTAACTCCCTAACTTGATTCAGGACAGAACCATTCAGCTGTATGTGTAGTGGGGCAGGGGTTCTACTAACTTGCATTGTTTCGGTTTTGTTTACATTGATCTTCATGTTATATTTACTACATGCTGTCCATATCTGGTATTAATAGCACAAAATTAGTAGGAACAGCGCATTTGTCAGCTGCTTTTAGTGTGCATGCTGACATTTTGATGCCTCAAAAGTGGCACTGTTTGGTAATTTATGTTGTTGGCTTTCTATGTTGTTTTCTTTTTATTCAATCCTCCACCTTCAGTGACTACACTGCCTGGGTATTATAACTCCTTGGTTTGTTTCAATATCTGTTTTTCAACTGTGATGTAATTTACTTTCATATTATATTTCTTGCAACAGTTGTTGAGTCTGTTTGTGTGGTGTTTGTGGTTATCCTTATCATTGTATAATAGGGCATTCCTAGAGTGGGTCCCTGAGCCCTAATGTGGGGAAAACAAGACTATATCCTTTGCCTTCCCAAAAAGCATGTCGTATGAGTAGACTAATTGGGAGGGATCTTCCTTCGAAGCAAGAGTACATCTGCCTGAGTAGCAAGGAACAACCAAACTGCACTCAAATAAGTCAGTAAAACGGATTTACATGAAAAACTTAGGTCCTGGCACAACAAAGCCAATGTTCCAACAACTAGGACTGTCTGTGGGAGCTTACAGCACCGGCGAAAATTCTGAAATACTTTTGGTAGATTTTCAACTTCAAATTGTGCATGGGCAGCGCCACTATTCTACTTTTTTTTATTTCTAACTGCCAAGGGATTTTCTACGTGCGGAACAATACACACGGGCGTCCGATCATACTACCCAGAGACCAGGGGAAATTACTAGAAGTCCGCGTGAAAAAATCCCAGCCTTCACCGGATTTTAAACCCGGGGCCTCCAGCGCTCGAGGCAGACGCCATGCCTCGAGACCACGCAGCCCCCCCCCCCCCCCAACTTCTTCAAAGATGACATGGTCATTATTCACCCTTCTATCTATGAATTTGAGATCTAGTAATAAATTGCTCGACCTTGCCACACAGGTCTCTAGGGCTGTTTATGTGCAACAAGTTTCTAATCGTCATAGGTAATTTACAGAGATTCATAAAGTCATTTACTGGGTTTCTATGGTTTTCAGATTTCCTAAACTCCAGCAAGTAGTACTCTATATTATTGTATTTCTGGCACAGATTACACGTCTCTTCCTGTACAGTAAAGCACCCCTCCAAGTTGTAGTTTAAGCAGTCTTCGATCGCATGGTATTTTAAATTCATCCGTTGTCTGAATTTGTCTTTTAGAAGCCTTTAACAACTTATATGAATATATACCCTTTAGGCCTTGTTTCCAGTATAAAGACCATTCCTCAGATCATCATCATCATCATCATGTAGCAGGTCCTTTGCAGAACGTCGCTCTTATCACAGTCTGCCTGAAAGAAACTCGGTCTCTCGCCAGTTCTCCCGCCTCATGTACTTTCATACTCAAGGAGTCACTTATATCCTGTGTCCATCTTCGTGTCGATCGGCACCTGCCCCTCCTTTCTGGTATCATGCCTTCTGCTATATTTTTTCCAATCCGTCGTGGCGCTTGATATGACCAAAATATAGTCCTCAGATATACATGTTTTAATTTGTGTTTTGATATCCCCTCTGCTCATATTTATATTAATAGTATTTTTTTTTTTTTTTAATTTAGCTTTTTTTTTTTTTTTTTCTTTCATATCTGCAATTTCATTACCATGTATTCCAACATGAGCATGTATCCATACATCTAGCAATGAGCAACCTCTTGTATATGTAGTGTCCAGTGATATCTCTTTTATTAAGGCTTGTCGGCTACATATTTTTGAATTTTGTAAAGTCTGAACTGTTGATAATGTTCCGTTAAAACTGTCACATGATTAAGAGGGTTGTCATATACCATTTTAAGAGTACAGCAATCATTTCTGCAGTGAAAATGGATAGATTATGAGATATATTGCAGTTTCCCTTCAGTTTCAATTGTGAAATGTATAATCATATTCCTAGCTTGTTATCT